TTTTTTTTTTTTTTGGTCCAACTCAAGAAACTTGTGAATGTCAGCCCCTGGCAATAGTGAGTCTCCCCGGACTATAAACACCAGGAGTGTACTTTGTGTTAATTTGTTAAATCTAATATCTGTATTACAACTGTCTTCCGTATTTTGTTGCCTATGCCGGGAATGTAGCTTGTCTGAAAGGGCTTCTTTGTAGCATTACATATTATACGTGGATTATTTGTTCATAGAATCTGTCTTCTATTATGTGCAGTGTGTGTTGGCATTTAATCCTGCTGAATGTTTTGCTGAAGTTACTATTCATTTCCTTCCCAGTTGCTACATTGCCTCTATAAATTCTTAGAACTACTCCGTGTTTTTTGTGTTTTCTATATCTGGGTGGGGGTTTTAATGTGGTGATGTTTGCTTTAAGTGGGAGTATGATGACATTATTTGTGTTACATGTATTGTCTTTTGAAATTATCATTTAGTAGGGCTTCCAAATCTGTATAATGAAAAGCACTTATAGTATTTTACTTATATTATGGTTAGGATTGGATTGGGTTAAGAAGCTATAGGATTTGTGGTAAGAAAAAAAATCAGTGAAAGATGAGGAAGGAAAAAGGGCGAAGAACCTCAAGCCTAAAGACATAAAGATGTTAAATGCATATAAATATCTCATATATTTAGACACACAAAATGTATATCTATTAAATACATCCACAGTTTTAGATTTTTACCTACATTCTAGATTTGACTAATGCCCTTAGAGCTTTTTGAATGCCCAGTAGTTGAAGCCCACCAATTCATAATGGATTTAGTGACAATCTTTTAAAAGGAAAAATTATAAATTCTTGACAAGGGTATAAAGCAGATTATCCAGAATTCTAATGGTGCATTTTCAGATGAAAGTTCTATTTACTGGTAATAACTTCTAGTGAAAGGAGTTTATGTTTTGATGGAAAGATTGTAATCTGAAGAACTAATATTTTTATTTGCAGGTTACATGTCTTGCATGTGACAACAAATCAAATACCATAGAACCTTTCTGGGACTTGTCACTGGAATTTCCAGAAAGATACCAATGCAGTGGGAAAGATATTGCTTCCCAGCCATGTCTGGTTACTGAAATGTTGGCCAAATTTACAGAAACTGAAGCTTTAGAAGGAAAAATCTATGTATGTGACCAGTGTAACTGTAAGTAAAGACAGTATATTCTCTGTGCTTTTCTAGGAGTGATAAAGAGGAAACACAAATGAAAGGAAGCTGGAACAAATTTCTTAACTATCAAATTTCTTAAGAAAAACAAACTTTTAAGTTCATCAAAAGAAATCAGACTAGACATTTCTACTTTATAATTGGTGTTTACAAACCATTTGTATTGCTTTATTGATGGCATTTAAATTATTTTTGATCCTGTAGTCATTGTGGAAAGAAGGGACTCATAAAATAAAGTTACATTTCATATGTGGAACAAAATAAAGTAGCAAAGAACAGTAAAAAGAAAGCATTTCATGTAGTGTGAATGCAGTGTTTGCTTTATGAATTTTTTTGCTATATATCAAAGCATTATATGTAGGTAAGTGTGTATATATACATATGTAATAGGAAATAATATATACTGGACTGCTGCTGTGGAGATTGGCTTCATAAAAACAAAGATTGCAGGCACAGTGGCTCACATCTATAATCCCAGCTACTCAGGAGGCTGAGGCAGGAGGATCCCTTGAGCCTAGGAGTAAGCACAGGAACCCGACATTGGGGGTGAAACACCCACATCAGTTAAAGAGAAGTGTCTTCCTCCAAGGAAATAGTATATAAAGCTACATCAGACTCACAGCTTCTGTGGCTGTCTTAAAAAAAAAAAAACACATACACATCAGATCTGCTGTTTCTTTATCTCCTCTATCAATGTATATGTGCCATTTTAGTGTTTATATATTTTCAGGTACTCTCCATAATTGCCACACCTCAAAAAAAATCATTTTTAGGCCAGGTGTGGTGGCTCACACCTATAATCCCAGCACTTTGGGGGAGGCTGAGGCAGAAGGATCACTTGAGGCCAGGAGTTCAAGAGCAGCCCAGACAACATAGCAAGACCCTGTCTCTACAACAAATTTAAAAATTAGCCAGGCATGGTGGCATGCACCGTAGTCCCAGCTACTCAGAAGGCTGAGGCAGGAGGATCACTTGAGCCCTGGAGTTTGAGGCTGCAGTGAGCTATGATTGTGTCACTGCACTCCAGCCTGGGCAACAGAGTGAGACCCTGTTTCTAAAAACCAACAAAAAAAAGATTCTAGAGCTTTAGATACTAAACTTTCAAGGGTAGTGTAAAATAT